ATAAGTTGAGATACGAAGAAGATGACAACGACAACGTAAAATACAATTGAGCAAACGCACAGCTCTGCCCGTGCATCACGCTTTTTACTACATTTCTTTGACGTCCAGTGCACGACTACGACGTGAAACCTCCTAATGCGATGATTTGTGGAGGGCGTGAACGTAGGACGACCTAAATTTTCCTCTTTCTTTTTGAACCTGGAAAAAGTCCAGAAAAAGTCGCCTACATTTTACAAATTGAGTGGGTCCCAATAGATGCGATAAAGTTTGAGGACGAATCTACTGGGAAAAACAACATGCTGTTCAGCGACAGATTTTCCTGGTGAATTACGTGCCAATTTTGCATGCCCATTACCTCGAAGGACATTGGTTATTGTATTATAGATGCAACTTCACACCCTGTTAAAATTACATTACATAAGCTCATATTGAACCAAATTTTTGTTAAGCCCGGGCTTAACGGCTTAAAGCTAGCTAAGCTCATGCTTGCAATTGTTTTAGAGCCTACAAACAATAGCACGCTAATAAAAATGATATTAATAATAATAATAATAACAATTATGATAATAATGATAATAATAATAAGAAGAACAACAACAACAACAGCAACAACACGTGGTATGGGAATCAGTTTCCTGTCAATCGCAATACCTCACTCGACTGTGCGAACGATATCAAAACTTATAAATGGAGTGATTTTACGGTAAAGCCATGACCTCAAAAGGAATTCTTATTTAGTTTTTCCTAGTAATATAAGCACTTACCCAAGGACGGGGTTTCATAGTACACGACAGCACCTTTCTCTTTGTGACCAGCAACTGAGTAGACCTAAAACAGAAAAGAAAAGCTTATGAACAAAATTAACTCATGCTCTGGTAAATCAGAAATGGTCATTTTTCTACCTAACACGGTTACCATAGCAAGATCCTGTATATGAAGTAAAATGTGGTGATTGTCAAGGGCTGTGAATGGGCTTACTACCATGTACTACCCTGCCGGGCTTGCTCCCCTACTATAACTCTGAAGTTCGGTGAAATATACCACTTTAGAGGGCAACACAGGTTTATTAATACAAATTTAAATATTAGGCCTGGCTCAGACGCCGTACTTTTCATGTGCTAAACCTAATTGAATAAGTTCAACGTTGTAGCGACACTGGCGCAATATCTGATTCAGACGGCGTTCCGTGTCTCGAGCCTAAGTTAAGTTCGACAAAAGTTCGACAGACTCTGTCGAACTAACGCTTTTGCCGCACCAAACTAAAACTGCTGTACTAAATTGATTTAGACGCCGTTCTTTTGCCGTACTTAATTCATCAGTTAGGTTTGGCACATGAGTGGAGCGGCGTCTGAACCGAGCCTTAGTTGTCCGACATAAGAGATATACTTACTTTTATTGTATAGTTTTCTTTTGGCATCATACCAGTCATGACATATTGGAGTTTGGTACTTAGGTGTTGCTGAAGAAACAAAACATCACGTTAGGCCTTTAGATTTGAATGTAGCAGCGCAGGCTTTCCTATTTAAGATGAAATTATAGACCTGTTTCAGACACCGTTCTAACTGAATCAAATTTAGGCTTGATTTCCAGCCAGGCTACAGCTTCAAAATACAATAAGATGCAAAATAAATATGTATGCATGTATTTTGTCCGGCTCATGTGAATTGCGGTGTCTGAATAAATACCGGTCCACAGCTGTCTTTCTAGGTTCCTGAAGAACTGATTCTCAGTACTTCAAACGCAGTACTTCACAGGAACTTACTTTTTAAAAATTCACAAAATTCGATTCGGCTCATGTAAAGTACGCCGTCTGAGACAGACCTTGCGAGTTTAGAACTCATTTGTTGGGTCAATAAGGATAAAATAATTGTGTAAATAACTTCCTCCTTCTCAAGGCGTTTGGTTTATCGCACGTTATTGGCAAACAAAGGCAGCGAAACACGATTGACCGGTGACGAGCGCAATAGAGAAAGAAGATAGGCGACGCGCCATCTCGCTCATTTTCTCCTTCCCGCCTTTGCTATCTTAAACAAGGAAGCATTCTTGGTCACATCACGTGATTTTCAGGGGTTCCTAACAATAAGAGCCTTATTCCGCACTAGCAGACAAAATCAGAATTGTCTTTGAAACATCCAAACCAAAACTTGTATGCTAGCAATTTTTGTTTTTATCCACACTGGAAACTATTTACTCTTATCAGGCCGTTACATCTGACAACACTTGCATTTGTTAATGGATATACAAAAAATGATTGCAAAGAAAAACACATTTTAGCTTATTTAGTCGATTTTGTCCAAGTTTTTATTCGGGGCAGATTTTGCCCGCGGCGCCTTTGAAGTAGACTCGAAGATTGTCCCGTCTGGGACAAAATTTGTAAAATCGAGACAAACCATCCGCATTTGTTGAGCGTTGGTGATGACAGAAAAATTGTCTAAATAAATAGCTTTTTCGCTAGTGCGGATAGGCCTTAACTTACTACTTATAATACTAACAAAACCTAGTTATAGCTATCGCCAAGTGCCAACGAGCAAAGATTTTACCCATACGCGCGCGCTGTTCAATTTGTTTAGAAATGTCATGAGTTACTGTAATTTACGAGAATGCTGGCTGCAGGTTAGTCTTGTGTCCGTCATTACCGTCATGGAACGCACTCAGAACTTTCGCGCACGGCTTTATTATGCTGCCGCCTCGCAGCCTCGCGTCTTTGGGAGGCTACTTGTTGGCAATTACTAAATAGATTTACAATGAATCTGAAAAAGAGTTAACATTGAAGCGCAAACCAGGACTCGCTTATTTTCCTTGTACCAGTTGTCTTTACTACAAGCTTTGCGAGGGAGTGGATTATGCTCCTTTACAAAGTTGCAGCTAAGTTGACCCTGAGAACTTTCCTTCAGGTAATGATGGCTGACGAAAGGAATTACCCGCCTACTCTATTTCAAGGTCGATTCCTCCGGGTAAAATTGTTGAGCTACGTTCTCGGTGTTGCTTTGCGGCCATATCACCCCATAAATCGCCTCATATGAGGTAACCTAATATAATCTTAGATTCTGGACATAAGGATTCCAGATTCCAGATTCCAGGTATTGGATTCAGGATTCTTTAATTGTCAGTGAAAACTGGATTCCGGATTCAAATAAGCGAAACTCTTGATTCCTAGAGCTGAATTTCTGATTCCAGAGCCCAGGATTCTGGAATCCGGATAACTCACGTCGAATTACAAAACCGACTAGCTGTATTGTAGCAAGAATTTCACTTAAAGGGGCTGTGTCACGGCAGTCCAGGGCATTTTGTTTAATTTTGCCAATTACTCGCCTTCAATCGGTATGGAACTTAAAGTAAGCCAGGAAATTACATGGAAATGACAAAATTAGAGATTCGAGAGAAACAAATATGTCTCTGAGCATTATTTTTGAAGTTGCAAACAGCAGAGATCAACTTTGAAAAACTGTTAGGCTGAACAGTTTTCAAAAACCCTAATTTCAATCCGTTTCAATCTTCTTCAGTTTTGCCCATCCGTGGCATCCGTTGTGTTATTTTAACCTTCCTTTAGTGTTTTAGGGGGTTATTTTTTACGTTTCTCTTAAATTAACGGGCATTTTGTAATTACCTAATTTGGCTGAATTTCGTGACACAGTTCCTTTAATAAGAGATTTTCTCTGCTACAGTTAAAGGTGGTTGTCTTGCACAGGCATATTGAGCCCTCTGCATGCATATGCATGGTATAGTAGGTCATAGTACACGCAACGCGTGCATATGTATTGATTGGTTGCTACATTATCCGCATTTGTAGTGATTACCTTATGTACATTCAATGTAAATTCTTCATGTCCTCTATCGTCTCCGTGCGTGGCGAGCCAGTGAATGTTGTAGTGACAGGTTTTGCCTACGATGTGTCGTGTCCATAAATAAAATTACGTAGGAAGTGGTCAAAAACATAGGATGGAGTTTTATTCTGCACCCCCTCCCGGGGGGGGAGGGGGTAGGTACTCCCGATTCTGAATGACGGGGATGGTCGAATGGGATCAAAAATCAAACCCCAAAAAAATCCCGGGACTAAAAATTACCCCCGAAATTTCCGAACCTTACAAATTTCCAAAAGGCGTCATATAATATAACACGAAACGTAAAAACGTTAGAAATTGAATGTTTGCAATTGTTTCTTCATTAGTGACCCTCATATCTGCAGTTATTATAAGTGGGTACTACCACAAATCTTCAGATTGTTTTGAATACCCCCCAAAAATCCCGACTTAAATCAGGCCACCCCCAAAAAATACTTGACAAATTTTCCTACCCAAAAAAATTCTTTGGGTAGTAGTATAGAAGGCATCGAATTATCCTTTTTTGCGCATGAATCTCATTACCTTGCGCAGGAATACATGTACATTAACGCCGATGACGTCATAGGTTGGTCTTTATCTCATGAATAAAAGCAAGTCTATCTATCTATTAGTTCGTTAAACACCGGAAATTGAACATTCAAAGCCCGTTAACGAATCTCAGCAACTGAACTGAGGCGATTCCAAGAGCTATTAAAATGCTATAACCTTACCCACTCCCCGAGATAAAATATCAACTAACGCCCGACTTACAGGTAGCACATCCATATGATTTTTCTTCGTCTACCATGCATTCCTGATCGTACCGTCGGAAATTGGGAATTTCGTTTTTTGAGGAGAGAGGAAACCCAGAATACCAAGAGAAAAATCTCTTGGAGCAGAGAAACAACATTTACAACCTCAACCCACGGATGACGTCACTTCCGGTATTTGAACCTAGGCCTTACTGGTGGGAGGCAAGGGCTGTCATCACACTGCGCCAGCCCTGCTTCCCTTCATTGTTAAACCTTAGGACAAATCAGTGTGTACAGCATTGTAAGAGGTTGGACATGTCGTTTTTGATTATTGGCCTGCATAAAAAAATTGACGCAAATATAAGTTTGTCCAAAACATTTTTGTTTGATTGTAGCTTAAAAATGTAATAATGTAAATTTGCTCACTGTGAGGTGCTAAATTCCAGCTTAGGTGTCCATGGAAGGTTGTCCCATTTGGCGTGAATGAAACATTTATGTTCCTGGGAGGATCCAGAACGTCTTTATCTGAAACAATAAAAAAGGAGGATTCCCGGATGGTAGCTTTTGTAGTGTACTGAACCAGGCGGTAATGTTTTAAAGCCTAGATAGGTAGAACAGATAAATTATAAGAAAGATTGAGTTGATGTGGCTGAACGTATAATCTGACGTTGCGTCGTTACGCAGTTTTCTGGCCCTAGCCCTAAAACTACGCCATATCGATCTGCTGTTTTAAGGGTTTTATTTAAACAAAGCTTAACAGAAAATTTTGCTTTAATTTTATTATTCAGGTAATCAAAAGAAGGTGCTATAAACAATGGTCTTTCTCGGAGACTTTATTAGGGTGATGCGCGTATGCAAAATGTCTATCAAATTGGTATCATACATGCACTTTGACTTTATTGTTGCAGTTGAAATAATTGTGCCGTCAATTTACATTTTGAATGGAACGGTTTCAGACGTTTCAATCGAGTCACTGATTCTCAAGAGCTCCAGCAGCATTTATTTTCTTATTGCTGTGGCTTTGCTTGCCTTAGTTTTGCCTGTCCGCCTATTCATACGGAGTTCTACTATTTTTTTTCTTTGTTCGTTTGTTCTTCGCTAATCTCCCGGTCCTCGGACTCAGACGTTCGTTCTGCCCCGAAGTCCAACCCACTTTCCCCCGTTTCGTATACGGCGCGCGAGTTCCACTAGAAAATGGCAACCCCTTTCAAATACCTACTTAAGAACACTCCTTCCCTTTTTATTCATGAGAAGTCATAAGAGATTGGCCCCTCTTATGAATAAATCACCAAAACAAGAAGTCTTCTTTTTGTTTTGACGTACCTTAAACAAACCAAAACTGATAATTCAGCCATAAGGTGGATTTGTTGGAGGCCCCGTGAAATGATAGATTTCACCAACCTTTCTTAATACTTCAAGTTATGAAATTCCTACCCTTTTATATACGTAAAGCCTGAAAAATGTACCTCTTTAGCGAGGAGCCTACCATCGGCCATGGGCAGTATCCCTCGGGTTTGATTTTTAGGCAAGCGTTTGTGACGCCAGGGGGATAAAAACGCACAAGAACGTAAGGTGCGCAAGGACGAAGCCCTTTAAGTGCTTGCGCACTTTAATTTCCCCTCTCCCTTCCCTTTAAATGCCTGCCAAGCCAGCTACCACTCGGTTTAACTTAACTGGAACTCACCACTTAGTGTTGACATCCATTCCCCTCGGTATGTCCCCTGTAGCCCTTTTGAAGTTACCACAGAAACCTCTACTTGAAATTTGGTACCAGGGTATAACTCGAAGTGAAAAGGCACCTTCTTCGTCTGTAGATTTAAGTGAATAATTAGATCAGGAGTTAACATCCTTGCCAAATTTAACAATAATGACACTATTCTCTTTTTATACGCACATGGCTGGCGTACTACGTAGTAAGAACTGAAGTCTACAGACAGAAAATCATTGTCGAGAGGCAAGAACAGAAACAGGGTTGCTGAGAGGAGAGATTTGACTTTAGTTCTGAGATTAGGGATTCCCGAGGGTTTGAAACCATTGGCCTGTTAAGGACGAAAACGAACTTCAAAACCTAAAATTTCTGTCCTGTATAGGACATATACAACAATCCTTGAAGACCGTTCTGTTACTTTACACAAGTTTAAACCTTGTTTAGGAGAACCTCGTATTAAATCGTGTCCCTTCTTTAAGGACAGAGAAATCAATTAAAATCCATGTTCTGTCCTGCGGTATCTTCCCCATATAAAGTGCCTCCTCTCCCCACCCCCAACCCCCCCGCCACGAGAACCGAAGCAGGCATCTTTTTAAATTCAATACAAGTGTGTATACTCATAATAGAAAAACCCGATCGCAATGTTTTCAGTTTTTGTGAATAATAAACGTTACTTTGGGACTGCACATGTACGTATTTTACGTTTTTTGACATATCATCAGCCATTGAGGCTTCGGAAAGCTTTAACACAGAACAGCAAAAACTGCGACTCGTGCGGGCGCTAACAATATCAATCAGATCTACTAATTTGCTGACTAGAGAGTGATGTCCCCTGTTCTTGACAAAGACAACTACAGTCAAACTCCGTTAATACGGACACTGAGGGGGGTTATAGAAAGTGTCCGTATTAACGGGTGTCCGCATTAAGTAGATTGTATTTCGAGAAAATGTAAAGGCTTCCTTTCCCCATGGAAACAGCAAACCGTCCGTGATATAATGAAGTGACCGTAAAGCGGGGCTTGACTAGTGTAGTCTGAAAAGGGACCACAGTGGTCTTGATCCGGGTCGTGTGCACCCACCGCACCTTTCTAAGGGGACTGTCTACGTATGGTTAATGATCTTCATATTAGACACTTACTGGCTTACGAATTGTATTCCACTGATCTTCCCAATAACGCCACCTAAGAGCGAGGATGATGGGTTCAACAGCAGGAACAAGATTAAGGAAACGAAACTCGAAGTTAATAACCAACAAATTTAGGGTGCGACAAAAAAGATAAGGGCCTTTGACTACTGCTTTTCTTGTGTCGTTCATGCCGTCACCTACAATAAATAAACAAATAAATAAATAGACGAATAGATAATCAGATAAATAAGCACATCTAACTTACTCTGTGGATAGAGACAAAACTCTGTTATCAGCGAGGCTCTATCATCAGTTTCTTTTACCTTTACAGACTTCGGAAACTAATAAAAAAATGAAGGCTATATTTTGGAGAAAATGATGGTTCAATTACTAAAGAGGGGATGGCGGATTATGTACATTTTTGCTTAATTTGTAAAAACATGCATCTTGACAATTTGAACCAGTTGCCGTCAGAAAAATAGGCTTAAATACGTCGAGTTCATTTTCATTGCAAATATCCTTAAAGACAGATTTTAAACTTGAAGTAATTAGTAACTGAATACTTTGGAGAGAGGTTTAGGAATGAAAAGGATGAAAAGCTTAGAGAACATCATGAAGTTTTTCACACCTGAATTCACTATGCGATGATAAAATTCGCATCCTTTCCTGCAGGGGATTCCGTTGCCAGTCTGAAAAATAATCATGCCTTCCATGGGGAAAAACATTTCCAACAGGAGAGACAAAACTGGAAGGAAGGCGCAGTACTGGGCCCATGCAGTTTTTCGAAGGCCGATTAGCGCTAACCTGAGGTTCAATTTATATCCCGGTTTCTTTTTCTTTCATGTTTTTTTTTGGAAAGCATTTTCTCGGGTAATTATCTCTATTCTTTTAAAACCATCCAATCGTTATGTTGTAGCTTTGCTTGACTGGATCTGACTATGTAGTGGCCAAAAATTGCTATATTTGTTAGCTCATCATCAACACACCAGTATAGATAGAAGGTAGCTATTGTTTGTTTCAATATTAGTGTCCTTTTTTTATTGAGTGGTTATTGCCAGAACTGGTCTTACCCTCTTTTCTGGTCTCTAAGTTTTTCCGGTCTGCAGCCTATGCGCCCTTTTAGTAAATGATAGAGTTACAATCCGGAGCCGATTGTTGACCATCATTGATTATTTGGCTCTGATGTTAGAACTTACCTCATTACATTTCACTGCACATCTGGTAGAGTTTCTCTCAGCTGTAGAGTAAAATCGTTGCGATTTCAAACACTACAAGAAAAAAAAAATTCAAGAAATTAAAAGTGATAGTAGCGCTCAGTGCTCGAATGTGGTTGAGGGGGGTTTTAGGCATTTTCGTTTAGAACAATACCTTTTGTTAACTAAATATATACCCTGTGTGCGCCAAGTTAAAGGATCTTGCATCTTAGGGGTTCAAAAAAGGATACAACTTCCCAGCCGAGAGCAAACCCCCATTTCAAAACAGAGAAAAGTTCGATGGGAGACGCCATTAGGATCGACCTGGTTTTAAAAAAGGATCGACTGCGCTATACGGGGCGCAATGACTGTGATTTCCAAGCCTACTGTATGACCCACTATAACTATTATTATTTTCTTCGTAAAGTTTATATTAAAAGTTAATCCCCTACCTCGTCACAGTTACTGCTGCAGTTGTAAGTTCTAGGAAATCCACTGTTCTGTAAGGTTCACATATATTTAAGACTGATTAATATTCATCACATATTATTGTACCTTATCCGGACCTTAATCCATCTCTATCCCTCAGGGGTGATTAAGCAGATTGAGTGCATCACGAAAGACGCCAGTTAGCCTTCGTAGCAGGCGTTAAAGGGGGTGGGGAAGGGTACGCAAACCAAGCTTATACCGATCGCCCCCTGACACGCCGCGCATAGCTTCACGCGCTCTGTAACGCTTCAAGCTATTTTTCGCAAACACACTCACAATTCTTCCCTGCGGCCTAGCCCCCAGGCGTTTTTTATCGGCTCCCAGTCAAACTTAGCTCCTTCCTCCACGCAATGCAAACACGGGAACAGAGAGAAGGACTTGGAAGTAGTATAGGCTGGGTTCAATGGGTAAAGCAATGCCGATTAACGCGCGTTTCTCTGCAACTTAAAATGAGCAAATTTTCAGCTTTCGTAAGGAATGGGAAAACTTCTTTTCATTGCTCCTTGTAAACTTGGGCTGTCGAAATTTCTAGGCAATATTTGCTTCTTCCAACGAGAAAACAGTCGCTGGATGCACCCCTCTTGAATTACCGATAGTTTTTCATCCATTGAACAGTTTAATTGAGTCAGTGACCTGTCGCAGAAATACATGAAGTCGTGGCAAACCACTTCTTTTGAATGAAAACAAGTTAAGACAATGCATTACGGTTTAAGTTTTCAGAAGGAATATTGTAGATAAACTGTGTAAAAGTTCGTGGTATTTCATCAAAATGAGATCCAACCTGTCCGTATAGTAGTACTCCTTTTTATTCTAATTCGCTAATCGATATATTTTGCAAAAACAATTAGGAGTTTTTGTGAAAAAGAATCCTATTTTTCTCAAGCTGGCCCCAATGCCCGGATAGCTTAGAGGAGTTGAACATTATTTGACGCAATAGGTGGAAGACACATTAAGACTTTCGAACTCTATAGAAAATACTTCTTTTCAGAAGTCTGGCCCTTGTAGCCTAAGTATTGCCCATTTTGTAAGTTGTTGTTGTTGTTGTTGTTTTGCTTACATAGAATGTGAGATTCTCCTCCTTAATACTTTTTAAACCCTTCGCCAGCCCATATAGATATATTCAACGACTACAAATTTCTGGAAAAATCTCTGCAGCTATTCCAGCTGTGTCAGAGCAGGAAATCATATAAACATGTTGTATTCATTCAATATTGGGCCAAAAGTATATGGTATTGTTTATCAATAAAAGCCCACACACCGTACTTTCAAAAAACAGGAACTGTGGTTGTAGTGCATGTAATTTTATACCTTTTCTGATTCAAAAACCACCTCAGAACCACAAAAACCGCCTACGTCAACGTAATATAACCTCATAAAACTGCTACTCATTTTTCATGGCGTACTAAATGTTTTAAACGATCGAAGTTGGGTGATGGAAAAATTTCTACTTTTGAAACGGGCGGCGTCAAGGTTTTCGGTGTTTCTTCACTGCATACGTTTACCTGGATAATTTTTTTTTTTAAATAGGCATTTAAAGATATCACCGTCGCCGATGACTAAACTTTTTTGTGTAAAATCATTGAGTCTTAAATAACTGATTCGATCATTTGGACATGTGGCCAGATCGCTCAGGACTAAACGGCATTCGTTCCGACTCTTTCTATTAACATCTAAGTATTAAGAAATAAAGGTAAAATCCCTGTTGATGTATATATACTTTTTCACAACACGAATTTGCATTCTTTGGTGATTATTACATTTGAGGAGTACTACATGTTGCAAGTGAAAATTGCTTTGTTCGTCTTTGTACAAAGGAAAATTTTAAAATAATTTCCGGGACGTTTTCCAAAACGGAGTAAAATTAACAATAACATTATGACTAATCAATCTAAAACTCGATATATTACGCATAAAATTCTACAAAAAATTTTCGGTTATTATTTATCAGAAGAGATATTCTGTACCCTTTTCTTTGTTTAATGTATTTTCGGTGATACAGAGTGATTTCTACGATGAAAAATAGAGCCGTTTCAGTCGTACTGACGACAAAATCTTAGAGACCGCAAGGATTGTGATGAATTAGCGATATTTTTATACTTACTTTCCTGGCTAATGGTTCCCCGTACTGCAAAAAGTAGAGCAAAAATTATTTCATAAATCATTTGTCATTTTTGCGGAGACAGCAAACGTAAAAACCAAGCCATTTCACTAATATACGAAAGTGAAGTTAAATAGGCTTAATTTAAAGCAAAATAAAATTCGGCAATGTATTCCTCACCTTCTCCTCGCATTTTACAGTCAGTTGTGCAAGCTGCTTTACTACTTTATCATCAACTGAAACTGCTTTGCCAAATCTTGACTGTGCGAACACAAAAATAAAAACAAGAAATGTAGCCACCATGATTTTTCACTGGCTCTCAAACTCCGCGAATAAGATTGTTTTTTATGTTATTAGCACGACTGAAAGAGGCCGAATGTTTTCGCCAAAATTTAACACAAACAAACTTAAAGGTTGCGACAGTTAGCCGCAAGACCGGCCTATCTCTACAGAAAAAAACGTTAATCCAGCTTCACGTTAACGGAGAAATGTTGAATCTGGAGGCGACAAATAAAAGTTTTACGGTCTAAAAGAGGTTTGTCTAGTAAATCGTAACGGTTTACTTCACTGGCTCAAACAAGGAGCTTTTTTTCAACTTTCAAAGCAATCCTGACGTCAGTGCAAAGGTTGGCATTTCATGGGGCTTTTTGAGGCGAGCATTCTTCCGGCCTCTCAAATACTTTAATCACCAAATTTTAGAGTGAATTGCAATTGAAAATCTTTTTCATAATTTAGAAATCAGGTAGTGAAAGAAAACGGTCAGGAAACTTTACTGGTAATAATTGTTTTACCTCAGCTTTTTCATGACACGTACTTCCAGAGGTATCTAAACGTACATTAAATATTTTTCTCAGTAAATTTTAAACCGAAAGGATCAATAAGACCACCAATGTAAATTAAAGCAAGTAGGTTATAACAACATCTCGTTACATTTGGTCAAGGTATCATTAATTAACTATTAGTACTAAAAGCACAGTCAATTAGTGATGTTTATGTGCAATTTTCTATGATATTCTGACAAATATAATGCTTGGCACAAATTCAAACGATCAGTTTGTCATGCAAATTTAATCAAGGTCAATAAAGGATTGGAAAACCGGTTTGAATTTGCACGCCGCCCGATTATGATTCTGGTAACTGAAACATTCCGCCTTCAGGCATTTAAATTTTTGGGTAATTGTATACCCCTTATTCCGCTCTAAAATCTGCTCAGGCAGCGTAAATCGGTTCAAATTCTGTGTTCAAATATTTGTTGTAATATTTATGGCAAATGAAGACTTAATGAAAAAATATTGTAATATACGCCATGTATATGTCGGAGGACCTGTATAGCTACATGCCTGCGCGACCTGATTCCGAAGGAACGCTTTAATTTGTCTCGAATTTAACTTTTTTCTGGTGAATTTCTGTTTTCATTTTTATGTTTTTTTGGGAGGCTCAATTTATCCTAAGTTTGAATTTCATTTTCTTTGATTTCAAACTCAACCATTATACTAAGTTCCAATAAAACTAACCTCACCACGACAGTAAGTATCCCGCGTTCTGTATTGATTCTGACCCAATTCTGCTAAAAAAATGAATATTCTTCAGGCCAAATTGATACAATAAGTGCTAAAAATTTTGCAGGCTAAATTATGAAGTCTCCTTGGGATGACAGCAGAGTAATTCAACAGTATAAAAAACAACTTCAATCTTAACAAACCCACGCGTAAAAAAGTAAAAAATACCGAGCATTTTATTTTGAAGTTTTCCTTTTAGCAAAAATTAGTATGATCCTTATAAGGATGTTTCATTTTTACAAAAAGAACAAAACTACAACTAAAAATATAAATTTTTATAGTTTGCTCAACTGTCGTGACAAAGCACTAGTGGCTTCAGCATTGGGGCTTTAAAAGCATTATTAATTTGAATTTAAGTGTATTCAAGAGCAAACCTTCCTCTTGGATTTAAATGCAGACTGTTCGGAGTTTTCAACGGAAATGTCCCAGTATTATTAACGTAAAACTCTAAAACGCAGATTAAGCTTTTTATTTTATTTCACACTCTGTGAGACTTACCCCAGGAAGGGCTAAATTAAAATGAAGGTTTCCTAGTAAATGATTGAAAATTTCGAGAATTAAGGCCACACCTAAGTAAGCAGTTATATCCGTGAGCGCATTCATTCGAGACTCTGAAAATTCCATTTCGACGGAAATGAACTTTATCTGCCCAAGGGCACTCTTCAATAAGCCTCAATTGAAAAAAATGTACGGTTTATAGGCCATAGATTTTTGATAATTGCTCCGTCGTTGTAAATGAATTCGTTCTGATCGTTAAAGAAATTAAAGGAATATTTTTCCATTTAAAAGAAAATGAACAAGTCGGGTAGTTTATAGCAATTTTATGTTTGTGATAATGCAGAAATGAAGAAAATTAAAATCTTTTTTGTCAGATTTTTATTTCTAAAATTTCTGACCTCTAATTCCCTTTTGCTCACAGGTAAGTTTGTATTCATATATATATGTATACACAACTTTCTTTTTTTTTCTAAAAAAAGAAATAGCACTGTAAGCTATCTATATATTTCTTGTTGTGGGAGTGCATGGACATTATTTAGGTAACAAAAGGGTTTCCCTATACGAATAGACAGATTATAAGGGAATTAAATCATGAATTTTAAAAAAGGCCTACTGTCTGCATCTAATGACCAAAGCTTTTTCAGAAAAGGGTTTCTCAGTTGTTTCATTTATTTTTTTTCCTATTTAGTATACACGTGCCCACCATCTCGGTCCTAAAATAGCCATGTTTATCCCCTCTTATTGTTATGCAGCCATATCATATCCTTGATAATTACAGGGGACTAGCATTTTGAAAAATAGATTGAGTTTTTTTTTTTCTAACACAGTATTTTCTCGATTGAGTCGTGGGTGCTTC